CGGCAATATTTAGTCCGCGGGTCAACTTGTTCTGAATCTGCTCTTAGAACAATTTGTCCTTGGGTGAGCAGAAATCCAAATTCAACATATATAACAAGTGTAACTTGTCTCTTCAGTATTGGCTTCCAGTGCGTTGAAAGTCCCGATATCTTAGTCCAAATGTGCAGTAAAATGCAAGTTTACCCTCAGATATCTGAGAAATGTCATGAAACAACCATGTACAAAGTCCTGACGACTTTAAACAAATGAGCATAAAGAAATTACTGAACAACTTTTCAGAACACCCAAATAAGCAAATTTTCCTCCAGCCTACAAAAGCTGTGGCCTTCTCATAAGTGGCGCCCCCGTCTCCTCTCATACGTATTCTAATTAAGTTTAACTCTAGGAATAAAGGGAAAGTAAAAGTCTTATGCTGCGGCTCGTCCGAAGACTACGCAAAATATTGACAGAATTGTAAACCTGCATGTCTTTACAGCCTTGAAACACTTGCAAGTAAAGTTTGGCTTCATGTTGTATTTTCATGAGGATTTAAAACCTCAATTTTTACTGACATTTTCGTTGCGTGTGGATGGTTTGTAATGACCCCACCCTAAATAATGTTATAGCGATTAACTGTATTAAAAGGTAAATACGTGGATACCTTAAGCCTGTTAAATGAGATTACGCTCGTGTCAAGAAATAAAAATAGATAAATAAAAAGTAACTGAAAAAGAGGCACCATGAAGCTAATAATCAATGTGACTATGAAATAACATGGAAATAAACTTAAACGAATGAAAGCAACAACATACTTGAAAGAAAAAATAAATGTGCTGCGTTTTCTTTAAATTTAATCATATTTATTGTTAAAAAATTCTTACCTTGGTTCGTAGTGATGTTAGAAGCTATGCCTCTATAATGTCTCAGATACAGCGATCGCTCTTTGTTGACAACGAGGAGTTTGGCGAGGTCAAATGATACCAATTATAACGATTCGATAACAATCTCCAGAGCTTATTTATAGCATAGCTTGCTTTAGCCTCACCTTTGCAATCGGACAAGCTTAACAGATGCAATGTTGTCAATAGCTTATGCTGACACATTACATTATAATATTAAGGATGATGGGTCTTACAGAATATTTGGCATAATGTGGGTCTCCTTGAAACCCCACCAACGAAATGTGTGCAGAAATGTTTGTAAATATGGGACTCCTTAATATGTACATCAGAGATGTGTTAAAATCGATAACCACACTATAAAGACTATAAAAACAATCGATTAGTAAAAAAAGTGAGTTTTAAAACACCCACCTCAATATGCAACAATGAAGTTACCGTGCCAGGTCGGTGGTCGGGTGATATCACACAAGACAGGGGAGAGAGCACGTATGTTTAGCTATCAAACTCAGCTGTCATTATCTACATTGTACTTGTAGATGAGTTTCCAAAATACCGATAAGAGGCCAAACCCATTCCTTTATCTTACCTTAGGGAAGCTTAGGGAAACCTCGTGAATCATATGTGAAGCAACTTCCTGTCTAATCAATTCTTTAACCAACGTTAAATTACGTTTATCTCCACTAGTAGAATGTAGCATTTAATTACGACTATCAATATGCAACAATATGGCTAAATGTGTATGGGCTGTTTTCTGCAGTTTGGAAACTCGTCCACATGTACAGGTAGATAATGAGAGCTCAGTTTAATAGCTTAACATGCATTTGACTATATTTATTCAATTATTTATGTCATCTATATAACTTTCCATGAACGACATTATTGTAATTCCTTTACAATGCTCAGTTGGCCTGCAGGTAGGATTTGGCCGTAAACATGAACTCTTCATGTCATCGCCTAAATGATTAACTTAGAAGTAACGACATTTTGCAGGAAGCTGACGTGCTTATAAAGGCTCATCAGGGTTGTCATCTTTTGAGTACGCTTGTCAATGACACCCAAGAGTCCGTAAATTATGGCTGAGAGATGTTTCGTAGCTTGTGACTACATATGCTCGAAGACATGGTTGGTTCAAACTCCTGCGAGTTTCTTTTGTGACCTGAATGACGCGCCTAGCAAGAAATTGACGGATTGTGACCATATCCTAACGTGATTTTGTTCATAATATTATTATAATATAGATAATCTCGATATTGATTTTATATTTAACTTTTTTTAAATTCTTATTATTTTGTCTTTACCTTCCCCATTAATAAATTGGTTCACTTTAAGGTGATATAGCATTTTAACACATTAATTACTGTGCATGACAGATACAGTACATTTTTCTTTTAAAGATATCAGTTGCGAATGTACTGAACATAGTTCATGAGAAGAAGCATTCAATTCCGTTTCAATTCTTATTTGTGAACAACATAATTCTATTTGTATCACTCCACTGTACCTGTAGGTACATGTACTTCTCTCGCCCCCTCCTCTCTGACAGACACACGCGCGCCCGCTCCCACAGCCCTAGCCCCTACTCAATGCCATTGTGTCTACAACGAGGTGAAAACAAGCCGTAAACCGTAACCTAGAGAGCGAAGAGAAAGCCAAAAAGAGTTCAATAATAAAAGGGTTTTGTAACGTACGCATTCACCTGTCCTCAGGTAATGACACCAGGGGAGGTGAGGTTATCACTGGAGCGAACATGTCCGTACCTGTCACGGGCTGCTGATAGGACAAACAGCTTACTCATCCAATCAACGGAACCTTACTCTACTGTCTGATTTCTTTTTTAAATTGTAATCCTTTAACAGCGTATTTCGTTCAGATCCTTCTAAGTTTATGCATCTTTGTAAACTTATTTAGTTATGATTTTATATATGTTGTGGCAGTTTTTCCAACGTTTGCATTTTATTTCATATTTTTCATTGTCATTCTAAAAGACATCACACAATATAAGCACTATTTCAAGATGAAGTTGGCATCTTCACCCCAGGCCTTTTACTGTTATCTACCTGAATATTTTTAGGTACACCAGCGTTCAAAGCACCGAAAATGTGCTCAGGTGTAGGGATCTATCATTTTCAGATTGATGGATTTCGTAAAATACTTTTTTATTCGTGACGATTTTTAGTGTTAGAATATTAATGCAGACAATTTTATTGCTTTTCTATGAAAATCCCGCGTTCAAGTTTTCAAAGATATAGTTAATTAATCTGAGCTTACATAAAAATGGCACAGCTGTATGATATATTACCAATAGAAATAATTGGGCGGTCAGATAATGTAAGATAATGATTGAGGAAATTCACCATACAACGTGAGGGTACTTGATTACAATTTGTTGTCATTTGGATGCAGCCCTCGCCCTCTGACATTGTACAGAGCAGATATAAATAGCTATTGGACAGTTAACTTTTTTAATATCTGATTTTCTAAGTGTTTCCTAACTTCTTTGGAGTAGAATATTTCAATTTCACAACTTTTGAATTGTCGTGTCACATGCTCTTTTTTCATCCCATTTTATAGATAGAAACCTTGCATATCATTAGGATTAGGACTTAAATTATCACGGTAAATTACACGCCTGGGATACACTCTTTCAGGTTAAGGAACATTCCTTCCCATAACACAAGAAATACAGTATATTCCAATTTACTCTTGTCAAAAACTACAGGAGATAATTGCAGTAGTAGAAGACATGCGCTATTTCTGTTCCATGAGTCATGTGCACATATATATACAGAGTTCAAGTAATCAGGTTTATAAGAAGACATATTGCACAGATATATACTAACAGAAACCAGTACGGTTTCCGATAAAATAGGGTTGCTCCCCGATATTTAGGGAGACCCATGAATATCGCCAAAAAAGGGACACTTTCTGCTTGTGAGCTACCATATATAAAATCCAGGTCCCTAAACTGTTGATGAGACAACTCCCAGCGCACTCTTCTTTGAGGCGCCATGTTTGCAGACTTCTTTTCCTCTGACAGCAACTTCGTGCAGAGCGTAGAACTCCACCAAGGAGTACCCTAGTAGCACCAGCGGAGTGAGGAGAAAATGAAGAAAGTTACGAACGAAACTAATATGCTCTTTGACCTTCATCAGCCTTGGTCCGAATACGTCCATCATGAAGACCCAAAGAAAAGCGAGTTGCTGGAGCCCAGCCAAACCGTACATCGCGTAGTTAATGTAGAACGGTGCGTCTTTCACCAGGAAAGCCATAGACAAACCGGCAGAGATACCGTACAAACCTCCCGAGCAGAGCAGGACGCCGTAGTAAGAAAGGAAACAAAGACCCCAGGAGAAGGCAGGCCAGAACGGCATGCGACCGGCTTTCATCACGTAGTAGTGGAAAACTTCAGCGGCACCAATGGTCCATCTTCTGGCTTGACGCGCCCACTCAGCCACTTCTAGCTCCACGGTCTCACCGGATGTGGGTCCGCTGATGACGGGGACCGGAATCATCGGAATACGGAGGCGGCGACGAGTTATGCCCATCCATCGGATGAGGCAGATAATATCCTCCATCTGGTATGCAGGGTGACCAAAGTTTCCGTCAATACACAGACGCAAGGAAAAGGAGAAAATGCTCATGGAATTGATGTTGAATGGGATCAGAGCCCCCATCATCAGAGTGGTGCGCAGAAGGCCGGTTACACGGGTGACAAAGCTACTTCCATCCAAACCCCAGTTGTAGAACAAGGGTGCCTGGAATATGACTCCATGTGGGGTTTTCTCCTTTATGAACTTGGAAGTCAGAGCTGCGATGTAGCTAGGGTGGAAGTGTGTGTCGGCGTCAGAATTGGTAACAATAATCTTTTCAGCATCGAAGTATGCCCCAAGCTCCTCTTGCATTACCTGTGTCGCCTGCCGGAGGCCGTGATTAACATTGGAGCACTTTCCTGGGATCTCATTTGGAAGACCAAAGGGGTGAATGTTGAGGATTAGACGCTCGAAACCAGCATCCTTAAAAATTTCGCGAAGTTTATCGCATTTGGTTTGCACTTCCGGTGTCTTTTCTTCAAATGAAATCAACATGGAGATGCGCCCGACTTCGGTCTGGTCTGCTAAAGTCTGAACGCTTCTTGCAATCAGTTCTACTGGTTCCTTGTAACAGCTGATAACCACCAGGTGGCGGATTTCAATGTAGTCGGGATAGTCTTCTCGGAAATCTTTATTTTTGTTCCTGAAATAAAGAAGTAGAGAATATGAATTGAAGGATTTTTTGCGGCAGTAATATTTTTAAAAAATAATAAATATTATATGTACTTTAACACAACAATCTACATAAATTTGAAAAACTAAAACATCTTTCTTCATTGTTTCTTTGCGGCTTCAGTATCTTTTGTGATTTAGAGGTCATTCAAAAGCCAATACTTACATGTAAAGGACAATCATGTTCTTGCAGGCCAAGGTAACCACGACCACCCACATGAAGACAAACACAGCCTGGACAGCGGGAATTAAGTACCAGGCGACGGTCTGTGACACAAACGGCACCCACACAGGCATTGGGACGATGATCCAGAAGAGAAGGTTAAATATAAGGTTCCACCTGAACGTCTGTTTCCCTGCCTTTAATGGTTTATGAGTAACCGCTGTGTCAATGGCCCCATGAAGTGGTGATTTTCCTTCTGAGAGGTCTTCCTGTGGAGGTAGTTCATTAGTTGCTGTATAATTTCTTTGGGTTTTGTAATTTTCTTCTGAAAATACGGCGATACGGTCTTTGTTCTCTATTGGTGAACCTTCTCCTTTCTGGGTAAGAACCTTCGGCGATAGTTGGACGCCGGCATAAATCTGGTTCTGTTTGGCCCTGGTGGAATCTTGGGAACCTGCTTTGTATTGCACTTTCATTTCATTTTGCAGCTCTGAAAGGAGAAGAAATACCCTGTTACATAACAACAATGCAGCGATGGGTTGGTAAATACCCATTACATAGCATAGGCCAAACCATACATTCTTACTTAAAGTATGGAATATTATGAAACAAAGCCATTACATTTTTCTCTTTTCTGCTGTGGTTTTTAGGAAAAGTATGGTATATGAATGGTATATGAATAATGTTGCAGGGCCCACTTAGGACAAGAAAAGCCTTTTTTTATTCTGGCTCAGTAGTGGATTGCATGGTTAAATTTTGCATGAATTAAGAAGACATACATAGGCAGCCATTGTTTATTTGAAAAAATAGCGTCTCACTATTTGCGATATAAAATGATAACTTTGGGGCCATTCAGGATAGAAGATCCGAATATCAATCGTCCAAGGCTCAAAAATGGTGAAATGAAGACCGCTTAATCCTGTAATGGTCTCTCCGCCTCTCACACGCCTCCCCACGCGTCTGGTTTACCACAAAAACGGCAGTTATAGCTATAATTCTGATTTCTGAGCATGCGACCTCCACTGATGGCTATACCCTGTTTTAATCTTTTAAGAGATTATAACAAAAAAAAAACGTTTTTAGAAAAAAACAGGGATTAACTTTGAATGTAAAAATGGATTCATTAACTATTGGTAAGTATGGGAAATTGTTGTTTACTCCAGGAAAATTCATTTTTTGGACAAAACGTTAAAAAAGAGTTAAAATCCCTTTTAGCGGTGTTCCTTGCGCAGTGCCCATGTTGGAAACAGTGTTACCGTTGTTTTAAAAACGAACGCAGCTCCAATGCGTATAGTCAAACCATGTAAAATTCACCAAACAATTGTACTTCAGTTCAAATTCCATGCTCAAAAGGTGATATATTTTTCTGGTAAACCACCACTGGCCGATAATGAGGACTGATTTTGATAATTAACACCAACAAGAATTACTCTGACATATATATATAATTATGGCTAAAACACCTACCGAAAAAATGCACCTTTCTACTTTTTACCGTAATTTTATTTTTCATTCAAAAAACGATATGCACAGCTTAAAATTCCAAAACAGCGGCCACCACCACGACATCATAAAGGTAAACAAGGGAATTATACGCACATAACTTAAATTCTCACTGAATTACCATCCAAAATCTTACCTTCCAGTTGAATAAAACTACGTGGATTTGTGTAAAAAATTTTTTTTAATTCTTAAAAAGGCAAAATAATTGTATTCACCAGTTGCAATCAAAATTCTACGTTCACTCCACGACCGCCTCCATGCGTCCCGAATTACCAGTGAATTCCATGTATGAGAATGGTCACACGACCAACAAAATGAAATCTAACAGAAGAGTTGTATCACCTTAACGCTACCAGGGCATTGATATACTATTGGAGTGTTCAATACTGTTAGCAAAACAGTACTTTTACAGTACTTAAAACGGGCATACAAAGCGGTTTTTGTTTGCAATTATTCACAAAAACAGCACTTTCACAGCACCAAACACTTCAAATAAACAAGATCTAAGTCAAATATAACGTCTAACGCGCGCCAAGTATGTAGAAATAAAGAACTAAAATCGCATTTACATCTCGCAATTGTAACGTACTTTGCGTGTCATGTGACTCAGATATTAGCATATGAATGAACGGTCGGGAAGAAGTGTGGGAAAACTGCTCAACCTACTTTCCATCAGTGAAGGTCGAGTGAACAGGCGTACCACGTGCCTATCCTAATTTAACAAGTCAATGCAGCGGACGATGCGAAGAAAAAACTTTTTAGTACAGAAGAGGGATAAAGCAGAAGGAAGTACGACACAAAACTTGCACGAATAGAAAGGTTATAATAGATAGGACAATGGCACGACAAGAGTGGTAAATAAGACGTTTAACGTTCGGAAACCTTGCACTGAGACAACGTCGAATGACGCACTGGTTAGGAAGCCCTGATAGTGCTAGTATAGTAAAAGGTGCACGCGCAGTGAATGAATTGTGCGCGCGCAAACCGTTTTCGAAGACCGCAGAGCGTAAAACTGAACGCGAAGAACGGACAAAAAACGAAAGAAAAAATCGCGTTTGACGAATAATATATACATCTGATGGTGGTGATTATTTAAGGGTGCATTCCCAGAGATTTAGATCGACCTAACTCCCTGGGGGTTCACGCTAAATTGCCGTCAGCCGAGCGCGCACCATAGTTAATTACCCCCTTACAGCTTTTAGTAGGCGGGACAGACACTGAAGCCGGCTAAGCTGACAGTAATCTAGTGAGACTCCCCACAGGGATAGATCGATGTAAAATCTATGGGAATGGCGTCTAAGATTTTTGACAATTTTTGACATCACTGTTATATCATCCCAACAACTATGATAGCACCCTCCCTCGGTTTGTATGCCGCTTTAATAATTGCCATTCATATACTAGTGGCTGGTATACCTTACCTTCTTTGGGATTAGAGAAATCCACATTTTTCTTCGAGACTGGCTTTTTATTTTTGGAATGTCTTTGGGGTGTGCTTACCGCACTATGTGGAGTGCTGTCAATGCCACTTTCGCTGTCACTCCCCGACATCAGAAAAAACAGGCGGTATGTCTTCGAAGTGTCGTTGCAATGAGACACGTCAAGTTAAACAACAGTTGACCGAATAAACTTTGAATTGTAGCAGACACTGAACTTTATCATTTGTATCAAGGCAAAGAAAAGAAGTCAAGTACAGAGATATGGTAGAAGACGTGGACCCGCTATCCAAAATCGCGAGTCCTTTTGTCTTGTTATTTACCCTAACTGTAACAATGTGCAAACTCTCACGTAACGGTGCTGAAAGAGCACCACTATTTATTAACGCGACCTAAAAACTCGTGGGCTTATCAGGCTAAACAGCATTATCACGAACTGATCGGTGACGTGAAATAATCTAGAGTGCTTGCCAGCACAACCGGTCACTCTGCACATAGACAGCTAACTACGGCTATCGGGAAAATGTCCTGCATCTAAGCAACTGAAACACAGATTGCGTCTCTTCACAAGCGCGATTCGCGCTGACTCCTCCATTTTTTTTTTTTTTTTTTTTGAAATTATCACACTGAAACAACTTATGATTTTATTGACAAAACAGGAACACATTGCTGGTTAATCGTGTTTAGAGGAGACTGGGTTCCCATGCCTAGATCGATCCATCAGAATCGGTCTCACTCCATGGGGATTCACGCTTAATTGCTATCAACTTCAGCGGCTTAAATGTCTGTCACGCCTACCAAATCAGCTAGGGGGTAATCAACTTTCGTGCAGGCTCGGCCTCCGGTAGTTAACTACCCCCTTACAGCTTTAATAGGCGTGACAGACATATAAGCCGCTTAAGTTGATAGCAATTTAGTGAGACTCCCCTTGGAGATAGATCGAAAGTCTCTGGGAATGGTCTCAAACGCACACAAACAGGCACACAAACACACACACGCCCACATATCTCGCGCTCACTCACGCCCTTACTCATGGCCATTGTGTCCGAAATTAAGTGTAAACAAGACGCCAATTGTATTAGAGAGAGAGAGAGAGAGAGAGAGAGAGAGAGAAAGAGAGAGGGAAATAAAAAATTAATTTATAATGGAGTTTTGTGACGTACGCATTCACCTGTCCTCAGGTAATGACACCAGGGGAGGTGAGGTTATCACTGGAACGAACATGTTCGTACCTGTCACGGGCTGCTGATAGGGCATACGACTTACTCAACCAATCAACGGAGCCTTACTCTACTGTATGGGTTTTTAAAACTTTAGACTCTAGCCCTTTAACAGTGTATTTCGACCTGTTTCTTCTAAGTTTATTCAGAGTTGCTGACGATTTATTCAATCATGATGTGAACTATTTTATGGCAGCTTTTCAAAATTTTGCATTTTTACTTCAAATTATGTTTGTCATTCTAAAACCATTAGCCCTATTTTATGAAAAATTAAGTACAGATGCCCCATGCATCTTTGCCAACTTTTCCTTCTATCAGACTTGTATAGCTGGCTTCATAACAGTCGTCTATAGGGTTTAAAACTGTGAAGAGATGAATAATATATAATTTCAAATTGAGGTACTTTGTTTAATATATATTAGGCAATTTTTAAATGTAAAAACTGATGTTGATAAAGGATATTCAACGCCAATTGGAATGTGGACACGAAACAAAAGATATTATCATTTCCTTCTTATTTAGGGTAGTGATATACTAATATGTAATTTTTACTTGAATCCAATAATCGTGCATATTGCATTATTAACCTCATGTAAAAAAAAAAAACAAAAAAAAAAAAAAAAACGCCATAATAATTATTGACTTGATATCGAGATCTTCATCTCTGACAGTCAGTCAATGACAGGTATAAGGAAACATGTTCACATATTTACAATCGCAGAGTTCTTCCAAATTAGATGATGTATTTATGAATTATTGTCTATCTATCTTTATGGAAGTATGTTGCCATATGTTTGAATGTTGAAGCATGTTAAGAGAATTTACATTTGAATATCTGCAGTCAGCCATTAAGTATAAATAGCATACTAAAAGATTATCAACTTTGAAATATATTACACCATATGAGGAGAGGGCACTTGTTTCAATACAAGCCATTTGGATTAAACTCTCACTTTCGGACACGTGTACCCGGAGCAGATAAAAATCTGATTAGCACAAGGAAATTAACATGCCTTTTGACGTCTCCAGTGACCACAACAAACGAAGTGTGAACGGACACGCTTACAGGCTGTTAAGTTAGCCACAAACCACTTCATGCGTCGTCTTACAAACAATTTCCCTTCGTACCAACACCAGTTTCGAACGGGAGTGTCCAAACAATGGAAATCGAGCACATAGCTTGCTCCAAGCTTTTTTGTGAAGTTCATTCTACATTTACATAATTAAAATAAACATGTTTTTTAAAGAGGAAAGGGGCTTTATCTTGCTAACTGAGTGCATCATAAAAACTCTAAAATTGTAAACAGATTAAGGATAAATAATTTGAAATTGAAATATTTTGTTAAATGTATTTTTATGAATGTTAAAAAATTGATAGATATAGGATATTCAAAAACAATTGTTTTTCTGCATATATAAAATGCCACATAGCATACCAAACATGTAGTAAGATTATCGCAGCTACCCTGAGAGAAAAAATTGGACAGTTAAGTGCTAAATAACCAATAAAAACAAAGAGGTTGAAACACCTTGATTTGTGTACGTTCGTTTATCAAAATAACAAAATATGTAATCTTTGCGCTAATGAATGTAATTAACGATATAAAATAAGCCAAAAACCACTTCATGCGCCGTCTTACACACAGTCTCCATTCGAACATGAATAAACATCAGTTTTGTGGGAGAGTGTCGGAAAATGGAAATTGTAGTTTCTTTGTTGATTCCATTCTGCATTGAAACAAACATTGTGTGTTCTTAAAGGGGAAGAGGGACGTCAACGTCATCTTGGAAAATAAGTGCATCATTTTTTTCATCAGTGTTTGTGTGAATGTTGTTCGCGTCGTTGAACATGGCTCATCGTGAAGCAAATTTAAATGTAACACAAATTTTATATTTCCTATATCTTAATCACACCAAAGGAAAAAACAATTTCCATCCCATGAATTATGTCTCGACTCATCTTTGCACTTGGATTCAATGTTTTTGTACCATTTCTTGTCAAATAATGTAATTGTAAACTAAAAATGGATCATCATTAAACCGCCGAAGTCTACTGAATTGTCAGAAGACAACGACAACGAAAATAATAAGAACGTTTCTGTTTCGAACATTAGCGTGTTAAAGAAAGGGAAAAGTTTGTCCGAAAATGGTTCTTTCGTGTGAGCTCAACTAAATAATAAATTGTCTGAGCTCTTATTAATGTGTTAATTCTTCGTCGTTATTACGTAAAAATAGATAAAGTTTGAAATAGATTAAGTTTGTTTAAATATGTATATTTTTTATTAATAAATTAACATATGCATATATATACAATTATGATACAACAAATCTATCGTTAAAACAACTATGACAAGCAAGCGAGGCACCAAACAACCAGTCGCTTACCAGAAGCCTAAATGTAAAAACGATATTATAACATAAAGCTTTAACAATACGATAACAAAAAACAACATTTCTTTTATAGAGATATGTTCACTTAGAGTAAACCTTAATTCATTTTACTAATCCGTAATAATCTGCACATAATGAAATGGAATGCATTTTATATGAAAACTACTGCAACATGCTTGATTATATTGCATAGAGTGATTTTCTAATAAATAAACACGAGACAATAATCTGGAGTTAACTAAGAATAACATCCTTATATACAGTAAAAGATATTTATTTTAAAAGCTTAAAGTACTTTTATGAAAAAAAATTAATAAACGTGTACGTTTAAATTTGAATAAATTAAAATTTGCTCAAAAGAGACAGTAAGTCTTAGTTGAACTGTTCAGAACAAGTCTTACAAAACACAAGAGACAAGAAGTCTAAAGTTTTAAATAAAACGCGTGGCACCGAGATGCAGTTTCAGCATCTAACGCTAACAAGTGCCACGATTGTACATGTATTCAGCATAAAGTTTCCACTTTGACCTGTTTGGGAGAAGGTTTAACCCCTAAAGAGGGCGCACAATGTTTACCAATTAACGGTGAATAAACAATCAATTTAAAATTGACGATAACGAGCGAGCATTCATCGAAGCCACTCATAGCATTAAAGAAAGATAATGCAAGTCGTGTTATATGCAATACGAGGGTTTTTCAAATGGATACGAGACTGCATCATTATTGATAAAATACCACTTTAAAAGCTTTAACTGATAAGATGATTGCCCACTAGCAGGGTCACATGAATTCTTATTCTCGTTTGGTATTTAAAGATATTTCTTTGGTTATTACGTTTACATTTCTCAACTGTAAGGAGAATATTTGCTAAAAATGTAGTTATCAACGAGCTGGTCTTTGTTAGATATAATTCAGTGGTATTAACGAGACAGTTTTGACGTACTGTGACAGTTGAGAACAGCACGTGAGTACTGATATCTGGTGTACGAATTCCCAAAGCGTGTGGCTTGCAAGCGTGGTCCCCACGAGTAGGAATAACCCGTCGGTTTTTGATTTCTTTCCGAAAAATTTTTTAGGTCTGTACAAAAATATCACTTAAACACTTCCCAGTGCACTCTTCTTTGAGGCGCCATGTTTACAGACTTCCTTTCCTCTGATAGCAACTTCGTGCAGGGCGTAGAACTCCACCAAGGAATACCCTAGTAGCACCAGCGGAGTGAGGAGAAAATGAAGAAAGTTACGAACGAAACTTATATGCTCTTTGACCTTCATCAATCTTGGTCCGAATACATCCATCATGAAAACCCCAAGGAACGCGAGTTGCTGGAGCCCGGCCAAACCGTACATCACGTAGTTAATGTAGAACGGTGAGTCTTTTACCAGGAAAGCCATAGACAAACCGGCAGAGATACCGTACAAACCTCCCGAACAGAGTAGGATGCCGTAGTATGAAAGGAAACAAAGACCCCAGGAGAAGGCAGGCCAGAAAGGCATGCGACCAGCTTTAATAACGTAGTAGTGGAAGACTTCAGCGGCACCAATGGTCCATCTTCTGGCTTGACGCGCCCACTCAGCCACTTCTAGCTCCACGGTCTCACCGGATGTCGGTCCGCTGATGACGGGGACCGGAATCATCGGAGTACGGATGCGGCGACGAGTAACGCCCATCCATCGGATCAGGCAAATGATGTCGTCCATCTGGTAGGCGGGGTGAACAAAGTTTCCATCAATACACAGCCGCAGAGAAAAGGAGAAAATGCTCATGGAATTGATGTTGAATGGAATGAGAGCCCCCATCATCAGAGTGGTACGGAGAAGGCCGGTGACACGGGTGACAAAGCTACTTCCATCCAATCCCCAGTTGTAGAACAAGGGTGCCTGGAATACGACTCCATGGGGGGTCTTTTCTTTCATGAACTTGGAAGTCAGAGCTGCGATGTAGCTAGGGTGGAAGTATGAGTCGGCGTCACAAGTGGTCACGATAATCTTTTCAGCATCGAAGTACGCCCCAAGCTCCTCTTGCATTACCTGCGTCGCCTGGCGGAGGCCGTGATTGGCATTGGAGCACTTTCCTGGGATCTCATTTGGAAGACCAAACGGGTGAATGGTGAAAATTAGACGCTCGAAACCAGCATCCTTAATAATCTCACGAAGTTTATCGCATTTTGTTTGCACTTCCGGTGTCTTCTCTTCAAAGGAAATCACCATGGAGATGCGCCCGACTTCGGTCTGGTCTGCTAAAGTCTGAACGCTTCTTGCAATCAGTTCTACTGGTTCCTTGTAACAGCTGATGGCCACCAGGTGGCTGATGTCAGTGTAATCCGGATAGTCTTTTCGGAAATCTTTATTTTTGTTCCTGAAATACGAAATTATAGCATATTAATCTTAGAATTTTGTGGCAATAATAGTATGCCTATAAATATATACATCTTGTTTGCACTTCCGGTGTCTTCTCTTCAAAAGAACTCACCACAATACGTATTTCAAGGTGAAGGCGGATTTCTGAAGATTGGTGTTTTTATGTTAATAAAAGCATCCGTGAAACCACCGGTTACATCAACATAATGCGTTCGACTTGGTACATCCTCCCAGTATCACCAGTTTGAGCCCTCTTCGTGAAAGAGACACACGCATGCACTCCAACAATATATATATATACTATACTTCGATCAACACGAATTTCAAGAATTAAAACATCTTTCGTCATTGTTTCTTCGTGGCTTAAATATCTTTTAAAATAAGAGGTCATTCAGAAGTCAATACTTACATGTAAAGGACAATCATATTCTTGCAGGCCAAGGTAACCACGACTACCCACATGAAGACAAAAAGAGCCTGGACAACCGGAATTAAGTACCAGGCGACGGTCTGTGACACAAACGGCACCCACACAGGCATTGGGACGATGATCCAGAAGAGAAGGTTAAACATAAGGTTCCACCTGAACCTCTGTTTTCCTGTCTTCATTGGTTTATGGGAAATTCCTGTGTCATTTGCACCATGAATTGGTGATTTTCTTCCTGGGACGGCTCCCTCTGGAGGTAGTTCATAACTGCCTGCCGTGATATACTTTCTTGTGTTTTTCTCATCTTCTGAAAATGTTGAGGTGATACTGTTTTTGCTCTCTTCTGCGAGACCTTCGCCACTAAATGAAAGGTGGACGCCAGCGTGCGTTATGTTCTGTTCCACTTGAAACTCAGCCATGGTGGAATCAAGGTATTCGGGTTTGTATTGCTCCTTCAGTTTCCGTGACAGTTCTGAATGCAGTTTAAGTATCTTGTTAGATGCGTACGTTTGAAAGTGATAGGTTTGTAAATACGTATTTCGTGTAGGACAAAGAAAATACTCTTACTTACAATACGGAATATTTCGGAAACTAGGCCTAAGCATTTCTCTCTATTCTGTTGTTGTCGTATTTAGAAAACCATTGATAAACTTGACCTACATGTAACCAGTAACTAGTGAATGTTTTTAAGTAAGAACAAATTTGTAGAGAAGTGCACAAAGTTGATTGCAGGTTTATCTTCTGTGTGACAAAAGTGAGAATAGAAGGTTAATGTATTGTCGCTGAGATGCATAGTTGAAGTCTTTCTCTGTCATGTAAACTTGAAGGGTGATAATGCCCCATCTGAAATCTAAAAGATGAGCATTATGGCTTTTATATATTGGAATCATTTCTTTGCTAGGTTTTTAATCATCGTCATTAACATACGCGTAGCAGGTACTACTGGTAGCCTTACCATCTTTGGGATTAGAGAAATCCACATTTTTCTTTGAGGCTGGCTGTTTATTTTTGAAAGGTTTTTGGAGTGTGTGAACCGCACTTTCTGGGGTGCTGTCAATGCCACTTTCGCTGTCACTTCCTNTTCGATCAACACGAATTTCAAGAATTAAAACATCTTTCGTCATTGTTTCTTCGTGGCTTAAATATCTTTTAAAATAAGAGGTCATTCAGAAGTCAATACTTACATGTAAAGGACAATCATATTCTTGCAGGCCAAGGTAACCACGACTACCCACATGAAGACAAAAAGAGCCTGGACAACCGGAATTAAGTACCAGGCGACGGTCTGTGACACAAACGGCACCCACACAGGCATTGGGACGATGATCCAGAAGAGAAGGTTAAACATAAGGTTCCACCTGAACCTCTGTTTTCCTGTCTTCATTGGTTTATGGGAAATTCCTGTGTCATTTGCACCATGAATTGGTGATTTTCTTCCTGGGACGGCTCCCTCTGGAGGTAGTTCATAACTGCCTGCCGTGATATACTTTCTTGTGTTTTTCTCATCTCTTCTGAAAATGTTGAGGTGATACTGTCTTTGCTCTCTTCTGCGAGACCTTCGCCACTAAATGAAAGGTGGACGCCAGCGTGCGTTATGTTCTGTTCCACTTGAAACTCAGCCATGGTGGAATCAAGGTATTCGGGTTTGTATTGCTCCTTCAGTTTCCGTGACAGTTCTGAATGCAGTTTAAGTATCTTGTTAGATGCGTACGTTTGAAAGTGATAGGTTTGTAAATACGTATTTCGTGTAGGACAAAGAAAATACTCTTACTTACAATACGGAATATTTCGGAAACTAGGCCTAAGCATTTCTCTCTATTCTGTTGTTGTCGTATTTAGAAAACCATTGATAAACTTGACCTACATGTAACCAGTAACTAGTGAATGTTTTTAAGTAAGAACAAATTTGTAGAGAAGTGCACAAAGTTGATTGCAGGTTTATCTTCTGTGTGACAAAAGTGAGAATAGAAGGTTAATGTATTGTCGCTGAGATGCATAGTTGAAGTCTTTCTCTGTCATGTAAACTTGAAGGGTGATAATGCCCCCTCTGAAATCTAAAAGATGAGCATTATGGCTTTTATATATTGGAATCATTTCTTTGCTAGGTTTTTAATCATCGTCATTAACATACGCGTAGCAGGTACTACTGGTAGCCTTACCATCTTTGGGATTAGAGAAATCCACATTTTTCTTTGAGGCTGGCTGTTTATTTTTGAAAGGTTTTTGGAGTGTGTGAACCGCACTTTCTGGGGTGCTGTCAATGCCACTTTCGCTGTCACTTCCTGACGTCACACTGGCGGTGTCGTCATCCACGATGGAGTGCCCATCATCAGCAGGGGAGCAGTGAAACCTCCCGTCACAATCCGGGACCTGTTTGTCGAGATTGACGGATTTTGAGACACGTGACACAGTGTCCATCGAGGTGAAGCTGCTGCTTTGTATATCTACTTGTATATTTATTCCACTGTCAACACTAGGGAGAGTGGGACCAACTTTCCCTTTAAATGAAAAATCGTCCACGCTCACGCTCAATCGTCGTGTGAAGGAAATCGGAACAACGTCAGCCATTGTTTATCTGTAAAAACAGAGAGATAATGAATAAAGCATAGTTTGGCCACTAAAATGCATGAAAATAACCGTGAATAAAAATATATAGTGCTGTTATTTATCATAGGTTTGTTCTTTACCATCCAGGCCCTTAGATTGGAAAAACGGTTTTTCAATTTCGTTTTAAGGAAATTTCATGGTTTCTTGATGATACAGCGAGTATACAACCGAGTTTATATATTTGATTAGGCCATTCACTTTGTTGCATTCACTTCTGTAGATTTGGTGAGTGAGTTTGGTTTTACGCCATAAACTTTCTGCCTTCCGTTTTCTCCTTCACGCATTCAGGATATCACAATTCATCCTTGGCTGCAAGTCCTTCTTGACAATAAAGTTGTTTTCATTGGACCTACAGTATGATGTCGAAACTATTAGACAGCAGCTTGTCATGTAACTCAACAGACCAGTTTGGGTCTAGGTCGCTGATACTAACATTTAATAATTTCTCTTCCAAGATCTGTTACAACTCGAGAGGATTCAAATTTTCATTCTTCAATGAAAACTGATTCTTTCACTGGCAGTGGCTTTCCACACGTTATGGTCACAGAGGAGGCGATCACAGAGGAGGTGACCAATAGAACAGAAATTTACAAGTTCATCCTTTTTCTTGGTTATAATCAGATCTAGTGTGTGGCTATGCACATGGTTTTACCTAATAAAATGTTTTTCTAAATTGAAACTATCCAGACTTGACATAAATTTATTTGTTTCACTGTTGTCAGTTCTTCCCAATCTATATTGGAATCTTCTAGCACAGTCGGCCGTTCTGATAGGGGCTCTACATGAAGTTATTTTAGGTGGTCGGTGACCTCTTCAAAGAAGGTAGAATTTTTGATGTTGTTTTTCTTCGATGGAAGGATTCTGTTCTTAGTAGTGGTGATGTCAACATTAAAATATATTTAAAGATACCCAGGTGCGTTTCTGGGTCTCATTAATGCTTGTGTGACGCCATTTAAATGCAACTAGAGCCGATATTGAGAGTTAATAATTATTAATTACCATTCCCAAATTCAAGCAGCCCTTAGCCGGTAACATCCATCTTTGTATGAAGAACACAACATGGTTGATGTCAATGATGATTAAAAAATATTAAAAAGCGTACAGGTGCATTTCTGGGTATCACAAATGCTCGTGTGACGACATATTGCAATGAGGGCCGATATTGAGAGTAAAAAAAAACATTTTCCGGACACAATTTACTTCACCGTATTGAGCATTTTGAATTCCTTCATGAACAAACATACTAGTATCATATTCTCATGTAGCTTCCAAAATAATACAATAAATATGCGTTCACCTAATCTCTTAGAGTTTGTTATCTCATCCACCCGAAGTCTCACCTGGTCTGTACCTACCTGTTTAAATGACACAAAAGGTCACCGATAATCGGGAGATGTCCGCACGCAGTTGGCTTTGAGAAGGAATTGCTCTCAGCTGATTAACCTTTGATCTCTTCTCAACATTCAAGCCCCACCGATAATTCTGCCCGTGGTTCAACAAGTGCTGAGGAGGTTGGAGAAACGACAGGTTCCACTTGCCTCATCCGGAAACTTTCTTGGCAAGAAATGCTACTTCACGGCCGGGTCTTTTTAGTCGCGGTATTTGAATGCATTTGTAACCAGTGGGGACCATATCAGCCAATACCGACAGGTTCAAATTGGGAGTAAGCCAGGTTTCAACTATAGTTATCAAATCGAGGTTGTTTTCCAAAACGGAATCACGTATCATCACTGCTGTTTTCCTCACTGATCTACTGTTCATTGTGGCTATTGTAAACGAAAGGCCGGTCATTGAGTATGGTTTGTCAATTGTTTTTATATCATCCAGGAATGGGCTTTTCTTTTTCCTCTACGGACTCATAGGCTGGGGTAATAGTTTTCCAATGTCTAGTGAACACGTTTGTTACCACCTCCATATTTAACCAATCTATTGTTATCGGTCTCCTCAAATTATCAAAGTTGGGACCCATCTGCTTTAGCTCAGAGGAAAACCTCATTATGTCATAATAGATGATATTCACAATATATTGGCTTGCTTCGGGTCACCATACACCATGACCCCCGCAGGTATAATTATGTTTAGGTCTTTCATCGTTGCCCAGGTATTTGATGATACCCCTCACTTACTTTTGGCATCAATGTCTATCAGCATATCTGTCGCATATGCCTATACATACCTTTTCATGGTTCTGTTAGAGCGCATTCAGAGCAGATGATCTGCAGACTAAATATGACCGATCCCACTTAAAAGCAAGACGCCTAATCCCATGATGGTCCCCCGGTCTCCACACGCGCCATTAAGCGGATCCCATCTCGGCTCCGAGGTTTTATTAATAGGCCCCTGCTGGGACGACGCGTGTGGGGACGGGGATACCAACAGGAGATTAGGTGGTTTGCTTTTAAGTTGGGGCGGCAATATTTAGTCCGCGGGTCAACTTGTTCTGAATCTGCACTTAGAACAATTTGTCCTTGGGTGAGCAGAAATCCAAATTCAACATATATAACAAGTGTAACTTGTCTCTTCAGTATTGGCTTCCAGTGCGTTGAAAGTCCCGATATCTTAGTCCAAATGTGCAGTAAAATGCAAGTTTACCCTCAGATATCTGAGAAATGTCATGAAACAACCATGTACAAAGTCCTGACGACTTTAAACAAATGAGCATAAAGAAATTACTGAACAACTTTTCAGAACACCCAAATAAGCAAATTTTCCTCCAGCCTACAAAAGCTGTGGCCTTCTCATAAGTGGCGCCCCCGTCTCCTCTCATACGTATTCTAATTAAGTTTAACTCTAGGAATAAAGGGAAAGTAAAAGTCTTATGCTGCGGCTCGTCCGAAGACTACGCAAAATATTGACAGAATTGTAAACCTGCATGTCTTTACAGCCTTGAAACACTTGCAAGTAAAGTTTGGCTTCATGTTGTATTTTCATGAGGATTTAAAACCTCAATTTTTACTGACATTTTCGTTGCGTGTGGATGGTTTGTAATGACCCCACCCTAAATAATGTTATAGCGATTAACTGTATTAAAAGGTAAATACGTGGATACCTTAAGCCTGTTAAATGAGATTACGCTCGTGTCAAGAAATAAAAATAGATAAATAAAAAGTAACTGAAAAAGAGGCACCATGCAGCTAATAATCAATGTGACTATGAAATAACATGGAAATAAACTTAAACGAATGAAAGCAACAACATACTTGAAAGAAAAAATAAATGTGCTGCGTTTTCTTTAAATTTAATCATATTTATTGTTAAAAAATTCTTACCTTGGTTCGTAGTGATGTTAGAAGCTATGCCTCTATAATGTCTCAGATACAGCGATCGCTCTTTGTTGACAACGAGGAGTTTGGCGAGGTCAAATGATACCAATTATAACGATTCGATAACAATCTCCAGAGCTTATTTATAGCATAGCTTGCTTTAGCCTCACCTTTGCAATCGGACAAGCTTAACAGATGCAATGTTGTCAATAGCTTATGCTGACACATTACATTATAATATTAAGGATGATGGGTCTTACAGAATATTTGGCATAATGTGGGTCTCCTTGAAACCCCACCAACGAAATGTGTGCAGAAATGTTTGTAAATATGGGACTCCTTAATATGTACATCAGAGATGTGTTAAAATCGATAACCACACTATAAAGACTATAAAAACAATCGATTAGTAAAAAAAAGTGAGTTTTAAAACACCCACCTCAATATGCAACAATGAAGTTACCGTGCCAGGTCGGTGGTCGGGTAACATCACACAAGACAGAGGGGAGAGAGCACGTATGTTTAGCTTTCAAACTCAGCTGTCATTATCTACTTGTAGATGAGTTTCCAAAATACCGATAAGAGGCCAAACCCATTCATTTATCTTACCTTAGGGAAGCTTAGGGAAACCTCGTGAATCCATGTGAAGCAACTTCCTGTCTAATCAATTCTTTAACCAACGTTAAATTACGTTTATCTCCACTAGTAGAATGTAGCATTTAATTACGACTATCAATATGCAACAATATGGCTAAATGTGTATGGGCTGTTTTCTGCAGTTTGGAAACTCGTCCACATGTACAGGTAGATAATGAGAGCTCAGTTTAATAGCTTAACATGCATTTGACTAGATTTATTCAATTGTTTATGTCATCTATTTAACTTCCATGAACGACATTATTGTAATTCCTTTACAATGCTCAGTTGGCCTGCAGGTAGGATTTGACCGTAAACATGAACTCTTCATGTCACCGCCTAAATGATTGACTTAGAAGTAACGACATTTTGCAGGAAGCTGACGTGCTTATAAAGGCTTATCAGGGTTGTCATCTTTTGAGTACGCTTGTCAATGACAGCCAAGAGTCCGTAAATTATGGCTGAGAGATGTTTCGTAGCTTGTGACTACATATGTTCGAAGACATGGTGGTTTCAAACTCCTGCGCGTTTCTTTTGTGACCTGAATGACGCGCGTAGCAAGAAATTGACGGATTGTGACCATATCCTAACGTGATTTTGCTCATAATATTATTATAATATAGATAATCTCGATATTGATTTTATATTAAACTTTTTTAAAATTCTTATTGTTTTGTCTTTACCTTCCCAATAATAATTCTTAATAAATTGGTTCACTTTAAGGTGATATAGCATTTAACACATTAATTACTGTGCATGACAGATACAGTACATTTTTCTATTAAAGATATCAGTTGCAAATTTACTGAACATAATTCTTATTTGTGAATAACATAATTCTATTTGTATCACTCCACTGTAGGTACATGTACTTCTCTCGCCCCCTCCTCTCTGACAGACACACGCGCGCCCGCTCCCACAGCTCTAGCCCCTACTCATTGCCATTGTGTCTACAACGAGGTGAAAACAAGCCGTCAATTGTAACTAACACCCCATTTCCATAGATTTTTAGATCGATCTATCCCTGTGGGGTGTCTCACTAAATTACTGTCAGCTTGGCCGGCTTAAGCGTCTGTCCCGCCTACTAAAAGCTGTAAGGGGGTAATTAACTATGGTGCCCGCTCGGCTGACTGCAATTTAGCGTGAACCCCCAGGGAGTTAGGTCGATCTAAATCTTAATCTTTAGATCGATCTAAATCTCTGGGAAAGCACCCCTAGAGAGCAAAGAGAAAGCCAAAAAAAGTTCAATAATAAAAGGGTTTTGTAACGTACGCATTCACCTGTCCTCAGGTAATGGCACCAGGGGAGGTGAGGTTATCACTGGAACGAACATGTCCGTACCTGTCACGGGCTGCTGATAGGGCAAACAGCTTACTCATCCAATCAACAGAACCTTACACCCCATTTCCATAGATTAGATCGATCTACTTTAGATCGACCTAACTCCCTGGGGGTTCACGCTAAATAGCTGTCAGCCGGGCGGACACGAAAGTTAATTATCCCCTTACAGCTTGTAGTAGGCGTGACGGACATTTAAGTCGGATTATCTGAAAGTAATCTAGTGAGACTCCCCGCGGGGATAGATCGATCTAAAATCTATGGGAATAGAGCCTTACTCTACTGTCTGATTTCTTTTTTAAATTGTAATCCTTTAACAGCGTGTTTCGTTCAGATCCTTCTAAGTTTATGCATCTTTGTTAACTTATTTAGTTATGATTTTATATATGTTGTGGCAGTTTTTCCAACGTTTGCATTTTATTTCATATTTTTCTTTGTCATTCTAAAAGACATCACACAATATAAGCACTATTTCAAGATGAAGTTGGCATCTTCACCCCAGGCCTTTTACTGTTATCTACCTGAATATTTTTAGGTACACCAGCGTTCAAAGCACTGAAAATGTGCTCAGGTGTAGGGATCTATCATTTTCAGATTGATGGATTTCGTAAAATACTTTTTTATTCGTGACGATTTTTAGTGTTAGAATATTAATGCAGACAATTTTATTGCTTTTCTATGAAAATCAGGCGTTTAAGTTTTCAAAGATATAGTTAATTAATCGGCAATAAAAATGGCACAGCTGTATGATATATTAGCAATAGAAATAATTGGGCTGTCAAAGATAAAGATTGAGGAAATTCCTCATACAACGTGAGGGTACTTGATTACAATTTGGTGTCATTTGGGTGCAGCCCTCGCCCTCTGACATTGTACAGAGCAGATATAAACCGCTATTGGACAGTTAACTTTTTTTAATATCTGATTTTCCAAGTGTTCCCTCACTACTTTGGAGTAGCAATTACACAAATTACAGTAAATGCCAGTCCCAGGTTAAGGAACATTCCTTCCCGTAGACTTAATCCATGTTCAGAGAAACAATATATATATATATATATATATATATATATATATATATATATA